AGGGTGGTGGCGTCACGGGGGGCGCCCGGACTGCACTCAGCGACGCCGAACTCGGCCGCTGGGCCGAACTACTGTCTCCCCTGGACGAGTCCCGTGCCAGCATCACCTCGGTCACCAGCTTCTCTCCGGACGACGTGGCCTCCCCGCAGGGTGACTGGACCGTGGTGGAGGTGGAGACCTTCCACTGAGCCAGACCACAGCCCCGCCTGCTACGCCCCACCCCTGCCTTAGGATCCGCCCCTCTGGGTATGCCTGTTTGTTTTAGACCCCGCCTCCACTGCCCTGGAGCACCGCTGGGTGGATTGGTCTTAGCTCCCTGAATCCTGAGCCTTTCGGCCCAGGCTCCACCCCTGCGTTTGGCCTCGGAGGCTCGGGACCTACCCACAGCTTTGACTAGGCCTGCCCCTCGAGCTCCGCCCCTTTGGCCTAGGACACGTCCCATTTCCCCGAGCCCCGCCCCGTGTCCAGTGTATTGCCCACCCCGCACAGCCTGAGTTTGCAATAAAACTGGGACACTGGGGCCTGCACACCTTCGCTGTCACCGAGAGGGCCGGGGCTGGGGGCTTCCAGCGGGCTGAGCGGTGCGGGGGGCCAGGCCAGGTAAGGTCTTGCTGGCGGCTGTGCGCGAACCGGTTGGAGCTCTGGATTAAGTACGGTTTTCCTCTTCTGTGAGAAAAGGGGCAGGCCAGGTGGGGTTAGGGCGGGGCCCTGCCGAGTCCTGGCCATCTGGTGCCGCTCACCCATCCAAGTGTGTGAACTTGGGCTTCTTGGTGTCCGACTTCTGGTGGAAACGTTCCGCGCAGGAGGGGCCTGGCTGGGGCTGTGCGCCCTAGTGGATGAGCCAGTGCATGACCGAGGTGAAGGAGCGACTGGAACACTCCCCTCCCCTCCCCTCCCCTGCCCTCCCCTCCCCTGTCTTCTCTATTCTTTTTCTTCTTCTGCTTGACCTCAGGTGATCTGCCCCCCTCAGCCTCCCAAAGTGGTGGGATTACAGGCGTCAGCCACTGTGCCTGGTCTGGCACACTTTTCAAACTCGATGCGGGGAACTAGTACTCCTGGGGAACAGGTGGGAAGATTGGAGGGCACCGAGGCAAGGATGGAGGACCCCTTCCCATGGCCCTTCGGCTGGTATAGGGCCTCGGGCCAACTGCCCCAGTAGGGGATTGCAGGAAGAAGTGGCCTCTCCCAGGGCTGGGTGGGAGATGGAGTCCTCACACTGCACCCTGTCTCCAAGTGTCCTCGAAGTGCCACTTGGTGCATCCCACCCCCACGGCATCCTTGCCCTGTCTCCTTTGTCAGGCGTCCTTATCAGATCCCAAACATCTTCACAGGTCCCCTCCAATCAGAGTTTCCTGCTCTTCCTCCCCCAACTAACCCTAACCCTAACCCCCAGCTCAGTCATCTTGACCCTGGAGCCTCTCAGCCCTAGCCAGTTTCTCCCTGTTCCCAGGTGCCCCTGCAGAGAGCTCCCCCACTAGGCCTTTCCTCCCCCGGGTCTCCTGCATGGCACCAAGAATGACGGCAACATCCCCAGCTGGTTAAGAAGACAGAGTAGGATCTGGCCTTGGGCCCTCAGCCCTGCCTCTGCCCCTGGACCCAGTACCCTTACGCCATCCTGTGATCAGGTTCCTGTCAGTCACAGACCAGCAAGTCCTGCCTGTCCCCATCCCAGACAAGGCACTTCCCAGCCTGGGGTCTGAGGAGAAATGGGCTCTGGCCTGGAGGGGTGCCACCTGCACCTCTGGGAGCTAAAGGAGGAGGACACCAGCATAGTCCTTCGGTCAAATTCAGAGTTTTGTGGCAAACCATAGAGGTGTTCTCTCAAGCCGGGCCCTGGTGGGGTTGGGGACCTGGGTGTCTTTGTTTCCAGACTCTAGGACAAGCCCAAGGCTGACTCCTGACATGCTGGGTAGCCAGAGGCTCAAGGCCAACTGCTAGGAAGGACAGGGCACAACCTCAGACAGTTCCTCTGGGGTCCTGCCCTGTCCTGGGGCGCCATCGGGGGTGGAATTACCATGGAAGCAGGAGGCATGGACAGTGACTGTCAGGGTCCCCAGGGTTACATCTGCACTGTGTGTGGCCAGGAGAGCTGTGGCTTGTGATAGGACAGTACATGGGACTTGGCTGTCTCAGTGCACAAGCAGTGTCACGTCCTTTGCTTGGCTGTCAGGCATGGGGGCAAGGGGCACTTTGTGGACCCACACTGGGTGCAGAGGGCAGGCCCTGGCTGGCATCTGCCTGAACCCAATTATGTTTCTGCCCCTAGGGGCCAGGCACCGTGTCTCATGCCTGTAATCCCAGCACTTTGGGAGGTTGAGGAGGGCGGATCACCTGAGGTCAGGAGTTTGAGACCAGCCTGGCCAACATGGCAAAACCCTGTCTGTACTAAAAATACAAAAAAAAAAAAATGGCCAGGTACGGTGGCTCACCCCTAGAATCTCAGCACTTTGGGAGGCCGAGGCGGGTGGATCACAAGGTCAGGAGTTTGAGACCAGCCTGGCCAATATGGTGAAACCCAGTCTCTACTTAAAAAAAAAAAAAAAAAAAATTGGGCCAGGTGCAGTGGCTCATGCCTGTTATCCTAGCACTTTGGGAGGCAGGTGGATCACCTGAGGTCAAGGGTTTGAAACCCTCCTGGCCAACATGGCGAAACCCCATCTTTACTGAAAAGAATACAAAATTAGCCAGGCGTGGTGGCGCGTGCCTGTAATCCCAGCTACTTGGGAGGCTGAGGCAGGAAAATTGCTTGAACCTGGGAGGCAGAGGTTGCAGTGAGCCGAAATTGTACCATTGCACTCCAGCCTGGGCAACAAGAGCGAAACTCCGTCTAAAAAAAAAAAAATTAGCCAGGCGTGGTGGCGGATGCCTGTAGTCCCAGCTACTCAGGAGGCTGAGGCAGGAGAGTCACTTGAACCCAGGAGGCGGTGGTTGCAGTGAGCCAAGATCGCGCCACTGCACTCCAGCCTGGGTGACAGAGTGAGACTCTGTCTCAAAAAACAAAACAAAACAAATTAGCCAGGCATGGTCGTAGGTGCCTGTAGTTTCAGCTACTCGGGAGGCTGAGGCAGGAGAATCACTGGAACCCAGGAGACGGATGTTGCAGTGAGTTGAGGTCACACCACTGCACTCCAGCCTGGGTGACAGAGTGAAGCTCCGTTTCAAAAAAAACAACAAACAAACAAACGTTTCTGCCTCTAGGAAGCTTTGCCTTGCCACTCCTGGCTCTGTCCTCCACCCCGCCCCACACCGCCACCCAGCAGCTGGGATTCTGCCTTAGCTCTGTGGGGAACCCCACAAAGGACTCTTTCTGCCCCCTACTCACTGTCCTCCCTGCACTAGCCCCTCACAGACTCTGCGGTCCATCTGGTGGGGCCCTCTTACCTAAGCCCTCCATGGGCTCCCAATGGCCCCCAGTTCAAAGCCCAAACTCCCTCTCCTGACTTAAGCAGTCCCTTCTTGATCTGACCACGCCCAGGCTTTCCTATTCCTCCTTCCTAGGCATGGTGTGCCTCCTGTTGGTCTGATCTTTATGCTTTTACCCCTGGAAGAGGCCCTGACACCACCTCCTCCAGGAAGCCTTCCCTGATCTCCCTGCACATTTGTCTATTGAGCACTTACCACATTAGTGCAGGCTCCCCCCTGCCTAGTACCTGTCTCCTCCGCACCACTGGAGACCCCCGTCAGAGCCAGGCACAGGGCAGAGTACCCCGCAATACCCCTGGAGGTGTGAGCAGAATGAACGCAACTGGGTCCTGTGCTTCCTGAAGCCCAGCGATTTGGCATGCCTCTCTCTCCTTCAGGGGAGGCTCAGGTTGATTCACCCGGGTGGGAAATCATGCCCTGCCCCCAAACTGAATGCCCTTCTGTCCTCTCCCACCCCCATTCTATGAGACTGTGGGGAGCTCCTGAGGGTGAGGACAGCGTCGCCTTCCCTGAGCACGGTTTTTGGTCCTGGGGCTGGGCACCCACCACTGCTTGCGATTCTCCCAGCCCGCAGGCCAGTCCGTGACTGTGTAAATACACTTTATTTTCCATCTTTCCTGCCTGGGCAACATGTGGAGTGAACAGGCAGTGTGCAAAATGGTGGTGGGCAGTGTAGGGGGCGTGTGGGAGAGCCCCGCGGGTGCCTGCCCCGGTTCCCAGGCTTCATAACACTGAAAAGTGGGCAGCTAGGAAGTGGGGACGGAGTAGGGGTCCCCACCCCAGGAAGCGCCAGGGAGATTGCTTGTGACGCTACTCTACTGGAGGCTCCAGGAGCACCGAGGGGGGCAGCCCCAAGGTCATGAGGCCTGGGGGGCTGGGGGGAGGGAGGAAGGGGACTGGGGGGCATCGTTGAATTTTGGCACCGTTCTCAGCTCTGATTCAGCAGAGGCCACGGGACCACCAGGAGGAAGTGAGGGGAGGCCGCTCGCTAGGAAGCTCCTAGGTGGTGGCCTGGCCCTGGCTGAGGGTGGGGCTGGGAACACAGGAAGAAAGGGAAGTAGATGGAAGCTGAGCACCCCCCCAGAGATACCCCTCCATCACTGGCCAGGATAGGGGGTGTGAGTGTCTCCCAGAGGAAGATGTGGGGTGCTGGGGAGAGGGGTCTCTTCACTTCCTCGAAGCTGCTCTGGCCCCAGAGAAGCAGGGAGACTTCCCGCTCGCCACTCACTCCCCAGGTGGCCCTGCACACAGTATGGGGGACTTTGGTTTCTGCTGCAGGGGCCATGGTGCCTGCACCAGGCAGGAGAGGCCGGCCTGGCCATCTGTCCCCAGCGGCCCAACTCCCCTAGAGATGGCCAGGGGTTGGTCAAGGGTCACTTCGTCCCGAGGAGTGTCATGGGGTGCTGATGTCCAGCCCAGAGCTGGTGCTCTCCTTCCTCAGGCCTCGGTTAGCTCCTGGGCGCTTCCCAGCAATGCCACCCCTGTCCCAGAAGGAACCCTGCTGGGAGGTGGGAGCTGCCTGCTCATTCAGTGCTGGGACCTCTGGGTCCTCTGTCTCTTGCCCTCTGCCCTCCTGTTAAGAGAGCAGTCAGCCCCTCCAGACACCCCGGAACGCCAGAGGGCCCGGAGGAGTACAGACCAAGATGGGTAAACACTGCTGGGGAGGGAGAGCCTGCCCCGGGGTCCTGAGGAGCCCCAGGCCAGACCCCACCCTCTGCGCTGCCTCGCCGGGCCTCGCTTTGTGGGTGGCCGAGCCACAGAGGGCGCGGAGTTCGTCAAGTGCGGCAGGTGGAGCGCAGAACGCGGACTGCCCGGGCGCCCCCCGCGACTGCGGTCTCCTGACTCCGGGCGCGCGGGGCACAGCCTCAGTTGTCCAGGCCCTGGCTGTAGGGCGCGGCAAGCTCATCGGCGTCGCTGTCTGAGCTGCCCTCGCTGTCCTTGGCCGGCCGCTCTAGACGGCGGAAGAAGCGCGCATCACGCGGGGACAGAGGATACAACGCGTCCTGCAGGGCAGCGCCCACGCCTACGCCGAGTAGCTCCTCGTCCGACGACGGCAGCGAGTCCTCGTCCAAGTGCCGCGCCAGGCTCAGCCCGTCGAAAGCCAGCGGGTCCTCGAAGGGCGGCGGGCCCTTCAGCAGCCGCACCTGGGGCGGGGGACCGGCGCTGCAGGCGTGGACCGGCCTTCTGCCCCGCCCTCCCAGCCGCATCCTCCGCAAGGCACCGGCGCTCGGCTCGTCCCAGGCCGACGACACCCAGGCCTGTCCCCGGCATCCCCGCGCCGGCTCACCTCGGCCTTCAGCTCCTCGATCTGGTCCTTGAGCTCGCGGATGTACTGCGATGAGTCCGAGTGGTTCAGCTGACCCTGGATTCGGCCCTCCTCCCTCTGCGGGGTGCGCCAGGTCACGCGGGGCCAGTGCCATGCTGGGCCTGGGGTCCCGCCCCGCTCCTGCCC